TTTAAAATTTGATGATGGGGTGAGAGAGAATATAAACATCCATAGCTGGTCGGACCTGACAACTTTATTTACTGTTGAATCATTCTCTTCAGTTCACTTTTTCTTCCTTATCGGATATCCTAAGACCAATTCCTCCTTTTTTCGGTAATGTTTTTGGATCCTGCTGGATCCTGTTGAATCCTGTGGATCCTGTTGGATCCTATTGGATCCTAGGATCCATTAGGATCCGCTTTTTCCCCCTTGGTTTTATGTGTTTGCTTGATGAACATAAATAATATTAATATGATTAGTAATACTACAGGGACAGAAAAACTAAGTGAAGATGAGAATGATTCAACAGTAAATAAAGTTGTCAGGTCCGACCAGCTATGGATGTTTATATTCTCTCTCACCCCATCATCAAATTTTAAAAAGTTAATAAGCTTTTTATATTCTTTACCTTGCAGCAATGCTTACGTTGAATCAGCATTCTCACACATGAAACATTTATTAAATGATTAGAGAAACTGTATGACAACAGAACTTATATCAGCTGAAGTAAAAATACGTTTAAATTCCATCTTATCATGCACTAAAATGTATAAACATTTATTAGGTAATCAAGATTCATTAAAAGCTATTAAATCAGATGAAAAATATACGTTCAAAAAAACATTTGTTCAATAATCTTATTATTTGTTAATTAATTTTGTTTCTTGATTATGTACAATTCTATTTATTTATAAATTGATTGTTTTTCATGATTCTGTAGAATAAAGATCAAAATTTGATGTGAAAATTCTTAATTAGTACACTGGAACAAAGTTTAGAAATAACTTTATATCACAAACATACTTTCTGGTTTTTTTCTGCTTTTCGATGAAAAAATCTCTGTCATTTTCTGCTTTTTATAGAATATTTTCTGCTTTTCGGACTTTGAAAGGTGACAGCACTGGGAGCATGTGTGCTCATGTTCATACTTTCTTCAGACGCACCTCAGACGCACATCCTTACATCCTACCCATACCATATACCACCCACCCCCACCCCAATGGAGGAAAAAGCAGATTTTAGGATTCAAAATCTCTGAAAATCTTCAAAATCTTTCAGAATCTTTCAGAATCTTTCAAAATCTATTAAAATCTTTTAAAACCTTAATATCAGAGGCGGTTAGGAGTAGGAAGTTACTGTTACCGAGTCGTTACTGTTATCGGATAATTGGTAACGGTATCCTTAGGGTCATAGGTCCTGCTATATAGCATACCCTTGGGTCTTCGAGTCCTATACTAAGTGGGTGCCTTTGTATTCTCAAGTCCCATACTGAGGAGGGTCCCCTTGGGTCCTAAAGTTCTACTATAGGGGGTACCCTTGGCTTCTCTTGTTCAAAACTAGACAATAGGCTTGGATCCTCTAGTCGTATACTCGAGGGTACGATAGATCCAATCATACTGTTACTGTTACCAGGTAGGTGCTAACGAGGCAGTTTTCTCATTTCAGGGTAACGGTATGACCGATAACTTGTTCGTTACTCGGTGGCTGTAACAATTTGGTCCCTTCAACTTCCCCAACTCCTAGGTACCTTTAATTCTACATGGGCTATAATATAGAGGGGACGAGTAGTCATGAATGGCATTCTGAGGGGTATGCTTAGGGCCTCATGGACTCTTGTATGCAACTTTCTGAAGTCTTTAAAGCGGTTTCTGAACGATGGTCCGATAGGTTTTTAGTGTCGCTTGATATAAGAAGTTGGATTTGCCGAGGTGCTATCAGATTGAGCGCCGATAGTTTCTGAAGCGCTAACGGATACAAAGAAGTGGTGTAGCCTAACCTTTTTCCTAACAGTAAGTGTCCGAGAAGAGTTACTGTTAGCTTAAGAGGTAACTGGGCATGGGATAAAGGAAAATTCGACACCTGCAATATTCATCGTAGCGATGGATTTTTGAGGAAATAATGGAATTTTATAAAAGCTGCCGAGTCTAAATCGGCATCGGGAAAGTGGAGCCTGAGGTTAGCATCTCAGAACTCTGAAGTCGATTTTATCGATCGAAGAGACAGGTATTCCGACGGATTGGAGATCGGGTCATCAATTTTTGTATCGATGATTTGAAAGTATGACTGCTAAGTGAAATCTGATTTTGGTTTATTACTCAGAAGTGAAGAATTTCAGGTGACGTTATTTTCGCTGTTTTGTTGAAAATGAGGTTTTCATGTTGAATATGAAAATGACACTTACGTACTTTGAAGTTGTAATGCGATACGGTTCTGTTAGCATGGAAACCTGTATTTGACTCGATCGGTTGTGTCGGATAATTAATTGACTAACGTGCAAATAGGTTCAGCTCATGTGCGTGCCAGAGGAACGATAGTGGTGAAGTCAACTTGGCTTGCATGGACTCTTCGTTTCTCCTTTGTTAGTTGGTATATCTGAGCTGCGAATGTGCACGAATTATTCAGTTTTTCTTCTATTTGTGTCTATGAATTGATTGAATAACCACATTTATGAAGAAGGCGGAGCTTATGGGAAATAGGTTTTTAGGATCCAATGGTAACCCCTATAGTAGGACTGGAAGATCCAAGGTACCATCTAGCATAGGATTTGAAGATCCAAGGGTACTCCCTATATTAGCACTTGAGGCGCCAAGGCATGCTCTCCTATAGTAGGACTTATGATCCCAAGGGTACCACTACTGGGTAATCAGTAAGGTAACTTCCCATCCCTATTTTAGTTAAGTGCCATTAAGTGAAATGGTTCACCCCTTTAAATCTTAAAACCTTTTAACACCTTTCAAATCTTCAAAAATCATTGAAATCTTTTAAAATCTGAAAATCTGCTTTTCCCCGTTACCCCAACCTCATCCCACAGCCACAGCCACACCCTCACCCCACCCTACTGACATCCACACGCACACCCACACCTACACCCACACCCCAAAAAGAACCTCTATGACAGCAAGGTAGAGTGCAAATGTCTGCATGAGATAGCAGACAGAATGAATCACGATTTTACGTATCATAACAGTTTAATGTGATGCAAATATTTTATTTATGAGAAAATGGATATTACAACGTATGTAATGCGGTCCCGAATGGTCCAGAAGAAAAGATCTAGACGTCATATTTGTTAATGCTGATTTTTAGCTCATATTTTGAATTTCTTACTTGTTTAGGTTGATTTCCTTGTTGCGATGCTTGCAGTTTGGTACTTTAGAATAAAGAGTTACAAGCTGGCGCTTCTGTTCGGGATTATATTTGTATCTCTGTACGGTTTCATGCTGGACTCAAAAGGAATATCCGTCTTGCTGTCGTGGATGTATAAGACACTGATGGGGGACTCAAAGAAGTGCATTGTTATTCTACGTGAACGAAACGGCCGCCTAGGCAATCGCTTATTCATGTTCTCTACTGCATTAGGCTTGTCGCTCGATTATTCATGTCAATTGTATATAGATAAAAGTGTGATACAAGAACTTAGTCAATCATTTGAACTAAATCTATCGAATCTTAGGACAGAACTTCCACTAAGTCATTTAACGTCGGTGAAGAAAATCTATAATCACTGCTCTTTCATTCCTCACCTATTCAACTCTAATACATCTCAGTTTATTGAATTAACTGGATACTGGCAAGTGCATCAATACTTCATCAAACATACAAATCAAATCAGACGTCATTTACAATTCAAACGCACAGTTTTAAATAGCACTAATACTTTTTTTGATAAAGTAATCAATAGAAAAACTACAACTTCTGTAGGAATACACATACGACGACGAGACTTTTTACTAGTTCGACGTACTTCATCTGACAAATACATACTCAATGCAATGGCTCATTTCATAGAAAAATATAGTTTAGTTCGTTTTATTATTGTAACAGATGACAGATCATACTGTCAAACACTGTTTCATAAGCGAAATGATGTTATTTTTACACCGAATTCATTTGGTGCTGTCAACGACTTGGCTGTTCTTACTTTATGCGACCATGTAATTATTACTGTAGGAACTTTTGGATGGTGGGGAGCTTTTCTGAACAGCAAAGAAGGTGAAATATTAACTGACTCAAAATCTGATTTTAGCCCACTCGATGCCAAGTGCACGCGAAGTGCATACTTTCCATATTGGTTTTCCTTTTTGAACAACACAAAATAATTCGTTTGCATGTCATATTATGTTTCTTCGAAAGTTTTCCAACAAAATAATTGTAAGGTTTTCGTTTTAGACAATGATTAAGAATAGCTCATGCAAATATACTTCTATTTGTCTTTTAATCGCCTTTGCAGTCATCATATTTTCATGGACAAAAGAAACTCAACATATTACCCTTTTATCTCCAGCAACTGTGCCTGCGAAACATTCATTGGCGAAATACAGCCATAGTGCTTTGACGACTGTTGTAATAGCCTATTTTCCTCTCAAAAAGTCAAAACATACCAAGGCAAAGTATCTAATGTGGCTTGAGAATCTACTTGGATATTGCCAGTCACCAATGATCATATTTACATCTATCGAATATCAATCGGTTCTCTACCGGCTTCGTCGAAAAGGATCGTTGGCATCATATTTTATTGTTAACTATTCAACACCGTTACAAATGCCTCCTATTCAACATCTTTTATCCATTTTCGAGCAACAACATAAAATTGATCCAGAACGTGGATATCATTCAGTCGAGCTCTATGCTACTTGGTGTGCTAAATCGTTCATGATAAATCGGAGTGCTGAGCTGAATCCATTTAACACTAACTATTTTCTCTATATTGATGCAGGAGCCTTTCGATCATCTACTTATCAGTTTCGATTGTGGCCCCATAATGAAATCATTCAAAAAATATGTGCCGACGATAGACTTCTTCTTGGCATGATAGCTCCACTTCCTCGAGGCTTCTGCCCATTAAGGTACAAAACAGATGAAGGACCAATCAGAATGGATCTTGTTGAAGGTGGAATCATCGGTGGTTCGGCACGCGTTATTCACTGGTGGACATCACTTTTTTACGAGACAATCAATCACTACATTTCAAGAAACTTCTTCATTGCAAAAGATCAGTATTTGATGAATGCCATTGCACTCGCTCATGCTAATCGTATCAATATGATGCTCTCGTTTCGTGTCTCCTGTGGTAACTCATGGTTCGCTTTCGGACCCCTACTTGCTAATGACTACGAGAAAACAAATTTGTCTTATTCATTGAATTGTCGGCAAGAAAGTGCATCTTCTTCGATTATTTCTTTTGAGACTGTTTGCAAAGACGTAAAGAATCTGATATGAATTTGATTAACTACCATAAAGAAGATGGACGGATAAAGGTCATCTTTGGGCTTTAACCATGTTCACCATGGTTTTTAGTGTATATAGTATTTATTCACACACCAGAAAACGAAAGGGATGAAGCCATGCGATCACTAAGCAGAATACGAAAAGAATGAGCATCAGTATATCTGAATAGTGTGTATATGTGTGGTGTGAGAGAGTAAAAATGTATTCAGGAAAAAATGAAATAACATTGAAGAGACAAAAAAAACAGAAAGGAAAGAAAGAACAAACACAAACGGCAACACACAGTGAACGACTGAACCAAACTCAACAGACAATGAGAACGAACACATATTTGTACAGCAAGGGCAATATCAAACTAAACTTGCAATATCTTGAAGTAGCGAAATCTTTATATGACTAAAACGTAAAAAACCACGAGTCGTGTTAATCTTAAACAAGGATATGAGTGTGAGTGTGGATGTCGACATGGGTGTGTGTTAGACATGATTTAATTCTCTTCTTTTATTTTATTTT